ATTAGCACCTAAGCAATTCTTTTGTATGTTCCCTAGTGATACTTCTATAGTTTTCGATTAAATACCAAATATTAACTCTGAACCAAATATAAACTATTTATTATATATTTCTATTAACCATTATTCAAAAACTATAATTTAAATTTATCTAATTAGTTGATTCTCCTTGTAACAATTTATTATATTGTATCACAGTTCCCATCGATAAATTAATTTATTCCAAAAATCTTCATTCTGTATTTGTATACATACTAGGCCATATTTATTTTTGATAATACCATATATGAAAAGTGCCTCAGTATATTAAGTCTATTTAAGAATAGCTTATATATGTGTATTATTTATAAAGAGATAATTATTTTTATAGCTAGTCTTCAATTAATTAAATTTGCACAGGGTTTGACCAAATGTTATATAGTAATTGACAGAATTGGAATTAAATTAGCATCTAAGCGATTTTGAAAAAAAATTGTATGTTCTAGTGATACTTCCTATATTTTCGATTATACCAAATTATTACTCTGATCCAAATATAAACTATTTATTATATATTTATTAACCATTATTATTATTAATAATTTTGTATTCAATGTATTGTATTAATGTGTAATGTGCCTTTGTTGATCTTAGTTTAGAGTTCAAACTTATTTTTTGTTCTAGTGATACTTTCTATATTTTCGATATTACAAATTATTACTCTGAACCAAATATAAACTATTTATTGTATATTTATTAACCATTATTATTATTAATAATTTTGTATCAATGTCTTGCATTAATATATAATGTGCCTTTGTTGTTCTTAGTTTAGAGTTCAATTTTATTTTTTGTGATAGAAGATAATTTTGATTTCATTTATGTTTTGGTTATTGATTTGTAATTTGTATCTTGTTATTTAAGTTATACTTTTTTCTCATAATATTGTTGAATATTCAAATGAAAAAGCTTTCTGTGTTAATAAAAGTTTTGCAACTCGTGTAAGATGTTTTGATATAGTCTTTAAATGTTTTGAATTATTTTTTAAATTTACAAAATTGATGTGAAAACTAACGGAATATTTTAATAAATACATTTTTAATAATAATTAATGACATTCTGCTCACAATTGAATCTTTTCTGTATACGACATTTTAATAATTGTATTTATTTATTTATTATTTATTTATTTATTTATTTATTTATTTATTATCATATAGCCCACAGAGTAGCCCTAGGAAGACTTAAAAATACAATTTTAATAATACATATTATAATAATACAAATATACTAATATATGATATAACAATGAATTTATCATGAATTCCAGAATCAATATTTATTATTAAAAAAATTTATATAAAATCGCTTATAGAAAATATTAAGGTGATGAAGTGGAATTTTATCTGTTCTAAAATTATGCATTCGATATGTTATTTTTCAGCTGTCTCGCACATATTAACTTATATTTTTCAAAATATTCAAAAGTCGTTTTGAAGTAAGTTTTGCATTTTAGAAAACATGCGTCGATTACCTTTTTAATATGCAGACAAGTGTGTGAGCTGAGTTAAACTCCAACTCTATTCAGGAAGAATAGTGTGAGAAGTTTTCCATTGCCATTTTACACCGCAGTACCTGAAATGAGCTTATTTGGGAGCATACTTTGGATCTATATTTTCAAGTGAAAATGGACATTGTTGCTGCCCGATATCAGGTTGCCAGAGGGAGCTTGAACTCTTCCACACGAGTGTGAGCCTTATTCCATGGCTCCATATATAGAATAAAACAAAATAGAATAGCATAGAATAGAATAGAATAGAATAGAATAGAATAGAAAACAATAAATAGAATAAAATAGATTAGAATAGAATAGAATAAAATAAAATAAAATAGAATAGAATAGAATAAATAGAATAAAATTTATTAAAATTATATAGTTACAATTTAGGTCATTTATAATGCATAATTATTCTAAAATGTATTATAAAATAATAGGAATTATTTAGTAAATGATTTTGTTTGCATCTCCATCCATCAGGTAGCTTATTATAGATCTTGGCCCCCAATGAAGGTATATTCTATAATATATATATATATATATATATATATAATATTTAAAGTAAATATAATTGCATAAAAAATTAATATTAGTTTATCCCATGTATACCAATTTCGATCCAACTAACTACCCTTTCTTTTCCAGATGGTGGTTTCGATCACAACTCCGAAGAAAAAGAAGAAGAGCTTCAGGAAAACACTCGTAAACAGTGGAAATCTTGCAACATCTAATATTAAACTGCGATGACAATACATCTCAGGTTGTCAAAGAAGTCAACAGCGCCAAAAATCAAGTTTATACCAATATGAAGAAAATCAGCGGCAACCCGCGTCAATTGTCTTTCTGCGGCAACGAGATCATCGAAGTGGCCAAGCTGAGGTCGGAACTTTCGGGCCACCAACCCGCACCTTGTTATACCACTATCACCTGTATGTCTCCGAATGCCCAGACTAATGAAACTTTTTCTTGTCCAAGATGTTCTTATATTACTCATACGAACATGCTTTTTCTATACACTTTAAGAGGGCTCATACATTGAAGTTGAACCATAATTGGGACTTTAATTGTAGACTGTTTGGATGATTCATATTTGTAGATATTGTAAGAACAGAGTGAATTATAGTACAATAGTTTATAAATAATTTTAGATTTTCTTATATATATAGATATATACAGAGTGTCCCAGATCTTGCCGTCAAGCCGAATTGGGGTGATAGTATTAACTTACATGTCCTGAAAAAAAAATTAGAAAAATATTAATCTCACGTTGTTTGTAAATTATGAGTTCTTAAGTGAAACCTAGAGCTTTGATGCAAATATGGCACTTTTTTGGTTATTGTGGTTAACTTTTATTAATTTTGTTCATTTAAGCTTTGGAACCGCAACCGTGAATAAAACTTCTAAGATAACAGTAAAAAAACGCAATTGCCCCATATTTTCAAAAATTAAGATTTCTGTTGAACTATAAATTTTAAATTTTAAATCTGGTTATTTGAGGTTGCGCGTTCGACAAACTTTTGAACTGAATGTTATTAAAATGCACTAGCAAAAACCATGTCATTTTTCGATTTTTTATTTTTTACTCGAAATTTTTCAATACTAAATTTTTAAGTATTTTACCATTTTACAATCCAGATTAAATGCGCCAACTTTCTATTAAACTTTCTTACACATTTTAGTACTTTTTTTTAAAGAAGGCCCTTTCTAAGTCTACAAATTGTAAAAATGTTAAATTTATAGTTCAACAAAAAGACTTATTTCCTTAAAATTTGAGGCAATTGTGTTTTTTTTACTCGTAATCTTGAAGGTTACGGCCCCAAAGTTTAAATGAACCAAATTAATAAAAATTAACCACAATAACCGAAAAATGATCAAAATTTCATCAAAGCTCTAGGTTTCACTCAAAATCTCATTATTTCCAAACAATGCTAGATAATTCATTTTTCTATTTTTTTTCAAGATAGTTCAAACTATCACTCTGTTTCGACTTCACATCAAGATCTGGGACACCCTGTATAATATGTTAATCCTCGAACAAGGAATTCAGTTTTAATAAAAAAACAGAAGAAACTAAATAAAAATATTATTGCAAGGTTTTCTATCAAGAACATGATCTTGATTAGAACATAAACAAACAATACTAATATTGCAAAAGATAAATAAAAATGTATAGATTATGATATGAATAAGATCTCTAATTATATTTAGTATGATTACTTGTTTTTTTTAATAATTTATCCATTTTACACTATATAAAAAATGCAAATATAATAATTATAGACATTCAAAATCACTATTTTTGAATTATTCAATAGATATTAATTTTTATTTATGTAGTTTTTTAATAATATTTTTAAACATTATTTTGTAGTTTATATTTTCACTGATAGAATATAGGATGTTTATACTTGTGATTTTACTTTTGTATAAAATTATAAAATATCAAAAAAATGTTATTTAAGAGTGCTATTTTAATTATTCCTGAAATCATAGTATTTAAACTACATGTATAGTGTACATACTTTAATATTAATTACAGCTTTGAATTAAAATCGTAGTGAATATAAATTGATATCGAAAATTATTGTATAATAAAAAATAATATATAACATGTATTTTATTAGTTATGCTTTATTTAGTAGTTAAAAATTATGATTTTTATTATTTAAAAACTATAATTTTTTGAATATTATTCAATATGAAAAATGTGCATGATATCCATGTTTCTTCATTTCTTTTACTTCTTTACTTCAAATTATCAAAATTTTTGTAGGTTGATAAAATATATTTCTGTTACTCATAATGACTATTTTTTATTTTCAGTCACAACCAACCTCTTGTCGCCATTGGTAGCTGAAACATTTGAGCAACTTAAAGATAAAGCACACAAATGTAAAAAATGCAAGGAAACTTTTACTTTTGAAATGAATTATCTATTACATCGCGAAGTTTGTGACCCGGAAAAGATTTTTATTTGCCCTCAGTGCAAAAGAGAGTATGCTTCAGCCCAAAGTTTCTATAATCATCGAAGATATGAATGTGGAAAACCTTTTGATCATAAGTGTCTATATTGTCCATATATGACCAGATTGAAAGGAAACTTGAAAGGTCATGTATTAAGGAAACATCCTGAGAAGAATGTTGGATTGAATTTACAGCTTTAGATAAAGAAGATTGAGCCCATGAGTCGACAGACAGTTAAAAATAATTTTAAACAATTTTTGTTGTTTTGTTCATGAAATGAAGTGTATTTTATTACTGTTTTTTGTTATCATGTAAACTAACGATGCATGTGCAACTGTTAAGTTGTTTAATTAATGTCTGTTCAATTGCATTATATGATGTTTTACTAATAGGCTTTTTAAAGCAAAATTAAAACTTTTTGTTGGGCAATACTTATTTATATCATTACAAATATGGTGTATAATAATTACTAATTTCCCTACTCGAAATTCTCCAAATTTGTTGTGTAATATGTAAAACACATTCCAATAATATGAATATTTATTTGAAAATTACATATTTTTTGTTTAGCAGATGCTGTATAAAGTGTATCCAATATTAAATTGAAATTATATAGTGTTTTGAAATAATTTTATTACATTTATTATCACATCGATTTTGAAATATGATCAAAATGCATTTTTTATACTAACTGTTGAAGTTACATTAATTTATAAATGATGGTTTGTTAATTTTAGCACGAATAATAACTCATTAAAACGCATTAAAGAATGTTTTATACATAAATAAATTATTAATTTTCCTAAGTAGAAGTTTGTTTTTAACAAAAAATCCGATTTGCTAATTTTATGTTTCTCGACGTTTCAAGACATTCTGAATCGAATGAGACCAAAATTTGGAAAAATATGTGTGTGTGTGTGTGAGCCGATTTTTGACCTTTGTCAAGTTTTTTTGAAAACGCCTGAACCGATTTCAAAAATTTAAAAGCCATTCGATGTATCTCGATGAGGACTAATTTTTCTCAGTTTTGTGCGGCGATCGGCAGAGCCGTTTCTTTGTAATTTTTAAAAAAGTGTAAAATTTTATTTTTCAAATAAAGAATTTGAAATTTCATCTAAATATCTAATTTTTGGGAAGTTCATGCAACTTGCTGTAAGGCAAAACACCACTAGCAGCCAGTTTGTATTATTGTTGTTGTAGAACTGATGAATCATTAGGCTTTACTTTTCACAAACAATGACGATGAAATCAGATTAACATTTTATCATTGTTTTTATAGCTAAAATGTTGAACTAATTTTATCATTCTTTAAAAAAATTTAAATACTAATGATTTATCAGTTCTTTAGTATCAGTGGTGTGCATCAAGTTTGTATAATTTAATGCTCTTCCATAGTGAAGTGCCATCGTATGTATATCAAATTTATGTATGAAAATGCAGTATTTAGTAGAAATCAAGTTTAATATATAATAACATATTTAATTTTTTTTCCAGATCCATATAGCTATTTACCGTCTAGAGTTGCAATATCTATTCCCAATCCGACGACTTTATTCAAAAAAATTTCAGTTCGTAATACAAGGACAAAGAAGTACCAGATAAAATTAATGTGCATAAAATGCGGAAAGGAGTTTTATATTTATTCTGAAAATCCAAATGTACTAAGAAGATGTTTCCATTGCCCAACCTGCTCCTTGGAGCGTGCTTCTGCAGATAGACGAAATAATAACAGTGATATGTTGTAAAAGTTGTACCTTTACAACATATCAATGATTTATTCAAATAGCAGGAATAAGTGAATTTTAACAGACATTTAAAAAAAAGATAGTATTATTTGGAGACACCAGGAAACATCAGGAAACATCATGCCATCGAGTCAGCCATCTAAACAACCAAGATTAAAATGACAATGATGTTGACCTTCAGCATTTACTTCTTGGAACTAATTTTTTGAATGTGCCTCATTTGATGAATTATTTATTATTTAATTTTTATTGAATCCTTACAACATTCCACTTTTATTAAATACTGTTAACTTTATTTGGTTATTACTGTTCAATAGTTTTATTTTAATTTACATCCAAGAAATGAACTATAAAGTTGACAAAATTTTCGAAATGTTATAGATATAGGTTTTATTATCAATAAAACCTTACTGGGCCAAAGATATGTAAAAAAATGAAAGATGATGAATTTGCATATTTTTACAAATATTTAGGAAGTATGCAAATTTATATTCAAAAACAGATTCATTACACATTCAGAAACAGATCATTCAAATTGCACATTTGCATTCAAAAATAGACAGTCTCGAATAAATTTTAATCACAATATTATAAATGTTTTATTACATTTCTAGTCATATTAATAGTATTGTTTCAGGGAATATATTAAATTAATTACATCACTTTATTAATGTAAAAAATTTAAAATGTGATAAAAATTTATATAACCAAAACATAAAAAATATAATATTTATCAAAAAACCAATGCCTATAAAACAATATGTGATATTTGATTTTTTTTAATATGTTTGTCACTTTTTGCCAAATGTTATAATTTTTTGTTATTAATTCTTCTTTAATAGTAATTAAAATATAATTTAAGCTATTTTGAAATACAGTTAAAAATTGTATTAAGATAATTGTTTTAGATAATAAGTTCTCTAGAAAGTAGATTTAAAAATATATTTTATACAACATCTAATGAATTTATATATGTTATTTAAAAGAAATGAAATATCAATAAATTGATTATTCTCAAAGTTTTAATAATTACTCTCCTTATTCTGGTGTCCATTAAATGTGTGTAACATAATGCTCTTCATAATATGATGTTATGCATATTTAATTTATATACATATTTTATAATTATTATCCTAAGATATTTTATAATTTTCTTTTTAGATCCCTGTAACCATTTCCAGTCTTCAACTTCAATACCTGTTCCCAATCCTCCGATTTTATTAAATAATATTCCAATTCTTAACATAAAGAAAAAGAAGTACCAGATAAAATTGATGTGCAAAAAATGCAGGCAGGAGTTTTATATTAATTCTGAATATCCGAATATACCAAGAACTTTTTTGGATTGTCCAAGGTGCTTTACCAGGTACCTATTATAGCCCTCCGCAAATAAAATTTCCTAAATTTTCTATACATAATTGTAACTTTTTTTTATTATAATAGCAGGGTTAAGAGGAATTTTAAGAAACTCGTATATAGTAAACATTGAGTTGTTTTGAATCATCGGAATATTAATAATAATAATCAAGTCAATCAAGATCAAGATTGAAATGATGTGGACATTCTTAAGTGCAATTGACTTACTGGGCCTAAGTTATTTAGAAGTCTGTTGATTTTTTTTTTAATTTTTTATTGTATCTTTGCGAACTGCACTCAAGTCTTCAATCCAAAATTTATAGTTATTATTATCATTTTGGATATTATAGTGCAATTAGACAAAATTTATTATATGACAAAGGCAAAATGATATGTTATATGGGAGAAACCAATTTTGTGAAATATATTAATTTTTGTATTATTTAGTTATTTTAGTTTTTATCCTGTATTTTCTTTATAATTAATTGTGCTTTTGGAATTTATTTAATTATATTCATAGATGAAAACACGTTTTTTCAAATATCTAGCTGATGGCAACCAGCAATCTGGACAACCAGGATCAACATGTGGATTTTGAACAAGAATTTGCAGACATTCAGCATTTTTTATTTCATAGAGCTGTATTTAGTGAATTTATCTCTTCTGGTGAACTTTTTCTATTTAATTTTTAACGAATCTTTGCAAAATCCAATCCTATTAAATTATATTAACATATTGTTTGTTTAATACTTTTGTTATAATTTACAACTAATAAGAGTGCTATGTAGAAGATAAAATTCTCGAAATACAAGTTTCACAAGCTAGAATGCAATTTCATGAAATATATTTTTCTAAGTTTTTTCCTATTGTTTTTTCATTTAGTCATTTTAGTTATTAATTGATTTAAGTTAAAATAACTCATAATTATATTCGTGTTTCAAATTTATTTTAACCAGATCGATATTAAAACAAGGTTCATAACTCCATATTACAAAAAAGTATGTTTTTACAGATGTTTTTAGGTTAGATTCATAATTAGTATCTATCTATATATTTAGTACATTTCAGCTTAAATGAATTCAAATAATATCTATCATTGTTTTTGTATTACATACTTAATTTCGATAGTTATATGATATACTATATATAATGTTTTCTAATTATCTTATATAATTATATAAAATATTTTTTTATATTTTCTCTCAATATGTACAGAATTTTTAATTATAATGTATCATTTTCATTTATTACCATCTCTATATATACCATTTTATTGACCCTTTTCACTCGGATGCATTGAAAATTCATATGAATTTCGCAATTAGCGAGTGGAAATCATTAAATTCATTTTATTGCATAAAAAAATTCATGTATACAATTACTAACAATTTCACATTTTTCCTCATTTCAGTTTCCTATCATGATCAATCTGATCCAAATAACCAGTTTTACATTCACAATTCAAATGAAACATATAACTATGGATCAGGATTTGGTGCTGAATCTGATTTTTGGAACCATCAACAACATCAGAGATCTGAATTAAAAAAGCTTCATACTTGTTCTCGTTGTCTGGGAAAATTTTCTTCGTCCAGAAGTTTTTGGAACCATCAACGATATCAGTGTGGAAAACCAGCATCGAATAAATGTGAAAAATGCGACTATAGAACTATTTTGAAAAAAAATTTGAAAAGACACATGATAAAAAAGCATAGTTAAATTGACATCTGTTGATTTTGTGATAAAGCGCAAAATTTATAAAAATATCTTAAGCCCGGTGCACACGACGCCAGATTTCATGATTAGTGCATGCCGGACAGTTTGTTACCTAGCAACGAAATGATACTGACATATTTCACGATCTTGCTAGCCAGATTTCACGTTTAATCTCTCTATTCACGATGGGAATATCCTTAACATAATTTCTGTCTATAACCGTTGCCTAGCAACGTCGCAAACTGATTTCACAACAATTTCTGTCCTCGACAATTCTTGCCGTATTTTATGAATAATAGAGCATGTCCTATTCGGCGATGGATGAACTGTTTTGTGGCTGATAACGTAATTTGTCACGTAAATGATTATTTCATTTACGATCTTGACATATTTCACGATCTTGCTAGCCAGATTTCACGTTTAATCTATTTATTCACAACGGGAATGTCCTTAACATAATTTCTGTCTATAACCGTTGCCTAGCAACGTCGGAAACTGATTTCACAACAACTTCTGTCCTCGACATTTCTTGCCGTATTTTATGAAAAGAGGATGTCCTATTCGGCGATGGATGAACTGTTTTGTGGCCGATAACGTAATTTGTCACGTAAATATCAATGTGTACTTTTCAATGTTCAGTTTTTATTTTGTGAATAGCTATTTGTATATATAGCGATGTGAAAAAATGCTTAGTTTTTGGGAAACGCAGTTCATTAATTTTAAACTTTTCATAACCTTTTTAATATTTTCATAACGATATTAATTATCTGATAAAGATACTGATTTTAAAAATCATTAACTGTTATGTTAAACCTCTGCATTTTATTATCTTTTTATTATTATGACTTCATTTAATTTTTAGAAATATGAAATTAAATCATCTCATTTACTGTTTACATTTCATACAATGCTCTGTTTGTACACTTATAAACATTAGTGCATTTTAGGCATATAAAATATGATTTGTGAAATTCACAGTATATATTCATAATAATCTATTTGAAAATGCATAAAATTATTATTAATCATAAAATAAGTGAAAATCTGATGCAAAACTCTTGCTTACCTTACCAGAAAACTTGACAGAAATCCTGTATAAAGAAATACTGGCGTCGTGTGCACCGGGCTTTACATAAATAGTTAAAATAAATATTGTTAAATTTGTAGAATAAATATTTAAATTTTATTACAGCTTTATAGTTCACACCCAGAAGTTTTCTTTTATGAGTAAAACTAATATTGTAAATTTTACTCTAGAAACAATAAATTGTCTCTATTTTATATATTTTTTTGTTTTATATTTTTTATTTTGAATAACTTTTAGTACAGTGATTTTCACAATAAAAAATATTGTTGATTGTATTTTTTTATGGTTGTATTATTGTTTTCCCCAGTCGCTGAATGGTAAGAGCTCTTGTTTTTCAACCAAAGGTTCCAGGTTCGATATCCACTTCAGACAACATGATATCAATCGTGATATCTCTAAAAGTAAAGATGGTAATATATTTTCAGGTGAATCTAGGCCTGTTGGAAAAATTATAATAATTAAGGGCATTAAATTTCTTCTTGTGCCTTTTTAAAAAGCAGCATACTCATATAAAAAATGTATACCTATGAAATATTTTGTGACGTATTCCTATAACAACTTTTTGTAAATTTTAAGAATACTCTTTGTATACTTTTGGCCAATAAATATATATTACAAAAATGTAAAAGGTGGTTTGTGTTTAAAAGTAGTTAACAAAATATAATTCATAAATAAATCAATAAAAGTTATTTAAACCAAAGGTAATTACTTTATTTTCATTTATCACATTTCTAGTTATCACATCAACTCTTGGACTAACTTTAGATGATTTTTTTTTTCAGATGTCAGAAAATTCCTGAGCTTCGTCGAAGATTCAGCAATATTCATAAGACCTTCAAAATTATCTAAATGTCCAAACTGTAATAAGTGTTACACTTATGGCACAGATTTAAGACGTCATATAAAAGAAGTTTGTGGAAAATATCCAGCATTTCGTTGTACTATATGTTCTTATTCATCTTACAAGAGACATAATTTTAAAAGACACATTTGGTTAAGACATAAAATGGTTATTGATTGAATGGGAATAATTGTATATACTGGTTTAAAATAAAGAATGATATGAAGTTATCTTTATGATTATTGAACTTATTGATTTTCAACAGAGGACGAAGAATAAATAGTGACAATACTCGAACTGACGATACCAGTCCCAAACTATTTCTTGGAAACTTGCTTTCACTTTTGTCTTCTCCATATTCAAGAAAATCCAGCAATTCTTTCTCATCATAAAGTGTTTTTAAATATTTTGTAAAAATATTGTGATAAAATTATTTGATAACTAACATCTTCTATGCAGGACTGCACATCGACTTCAAAATATATGAGCAGAACAATTTGTTTTTTAATATATCAATTTCATCATAAGTTGAATATAGTATTTTCCTGACTTTTTCTCTTTTTTCCAGGAAAATTCTACGCGTCCAAAAAATCTTTTTCTTCCATTGGCAAAGCTCAGGACCAAATACCAGAAATGGAAAGTTTTTACTCTTGTCCTCTCTGTGGGAAAAGTTACACATATTGCACTAGCAGAGATACACACTATGAAAAATGTAAACTTATGTATAATAGCAAATCTATGGACAATAAACGACTTTACAAATGCCCGAAATGTGGAAAGCCTTACAAAAATTCTGGAAGTATAGCAAATCATCTGCGATTGGAATGCGGAAAGGAGCCTCAATTTCGTTGCACATTATGCGATTATACATCCTATCAGAAATTTCATTATCAAAGACATTATTCATCTAAACATAATTTGGACATTACTGAGTCTTCATCTAAGTCAAATTTACAAGGGATACTGCCAGGCACAGATCATACGTATTATTAATAGCAAACAAGGTTAATGTTATAAATACGATGATATGGTATCATAGATATTATAACTACATGGACTGTTAGTCTAGCGCAAAATAAGTGCATAAAGATAAAATATTTTTTATATTTATTCTCAATATGTACAGAATTTTCAATTTTAATGTGTTTTTTCAATTTATTAACATCTCTATATGTATCATTTTATTAACCTTTTCCACTCGGATGCCGCCCCTCCAGCGGTAAAATACATATGAATTTCGCAATCAGCGAGTGGAAAGGGTTAATTTTATTAAATTCATTTTATTGTATTCAAAAATGCATTTCTATGCATATAATTACTAACCATTTTAATTTTTTTCTCATTTTAGTTACCTATAGTGATCAGTCTGATCCAAATAACCAGTTTTTTGGTCACTATTCAGATGAGACATATAACTATGGATCAGGATTTGGTGCTGAATCTGATTTTTGGAACCATCAACAACATCAAAGATCTGAATTAAAAAAGCTTCATACTTGTTCTCGTTGTCTGGGAAAATTTTCTTCGTCCAGAAGTTTTTGGAACCATCAACGATATCAGTGTGGAAAACCAGCATCGAATAAATGTGAAAAATGCGACTATAGAACTATTTTGAAATACAATTTGAAAAGACACATGTTGACTAAGCATAGTTAAATGCACAGATCATACGTATTATTAATAGCAAACAAGGTTAATGTTATAAATACGATGATATGGTATCATAGATATTATAACTACATGGACTGTTAGTCTAGCGCAAAATAAGTGCATAAAGATAGAAGGGGTCTGTGACGTCAATTGCTGAACGAGCGTTGCCGACAATCGTTGAACTTTCCCGATTGATTAAATGTTATATGTTATATGTCACGTGCCTAACCTAAAATAAAAATTTGTGTTTGAAATTGTTGTGAAATAATTATATTTTTGAAATAAAACTATCACAAATAATATTTGAATTACATTAACTATTATGATAAATATTATTAATATTATTTCTTACAAAATTATCAGTCATCTCAATTGCCATTATATTATTAAAACTAGCTGCAAACTAATGGATAGATGAATAGATATACAAATGAATATATACTAGCAAGTGTAGAATACTTAGATAAAAAAGAGATAAAAACAACAATATTAACTTAGTACGATTTTCCATAAAAAATTCCATTGTCAATTAAAATGCCAGCATCAAAAAAACTATGTATTCTGTGTTTGGTTTTCTGTAATTTTTCTAATTTATGGTTGAAACAAACAATTATAATACTATATCCATAATAAAATAATCATTTTTCAGTATAATTGCAATGAAAACTAGTGCCGAATGGCATCGTACCTTAAGAATTCAAAGAATATTAAATGTTTTCAAATAGATTATTTTTTTCAAATTATATAACTTATATATGTTTACAGAAAACTTTTTTTTTTTTTTTTTATTAACTCTTAATAAACAAAACTTAATCAATCGAATTTAAAATGGACGTTGTCTAATATTTATAAGACCTTTATAAACTGAATTGCAAAGTTTATGACATTAGGCTTTAGAACTTTAGCTAGAAAAAAATTAAAATTCAAATTATTTTCGATATTCAAAAATTTTTTTTGGAAATTAAAAGCAATCGTTTTGTCAACACAAGTAGAAAGCTTTTTGAATCATTTAAATCGGATGCTTATTTCTCTCAAAAACTACCATCTTGCATGGTATCTACGAAACGGATGGGCCTGCCTTTGCCAAAAACTAATCACAAGTTCTCCTCGTCATTATGCATTGAATGTGTTTTTGGATCATTCAAATCGTATGCTCCGTTCTCTCAAAAACTCGATATCTATATTCCGCACTCTTTACACCGTATCTCCGAAGCGGCTGGACCTGCCTTTGCCAAAAACTAATCAGCACATTTCTCTATCAATAGGAGTCAAATATTTTTTTAATCATTCAAGCCGGTTAATCCGTGGGCCCGAAACGTGGACGAAAAGTTGTATCCATACATGCACACATGCACACATCTATATTTTTTAGGTATGCCAAAATGTTCAGAAACGATCAAAACGTGAAGAAATGTAAAAATTTTCAATTTCGATTTTTGGACGATTACAATAACTTACTGACATATGACATTTAATCAATCGGGATAGTTTCACGATTGTCGTCAACGCTCGTTCAGCAAGTGACGTCACAGTCACTTCTATCTTTGTACACTTTATACAATGGAAAACATATGAGGACTAGCAGTCCATGTAATATAAGGACTATGTATGATGTATATGAAATTATATGTTTTGATACAACCTAAAATAGTATAAATGAGAAATAATATATTTGAGTCAGAGACACTTTGTTAATAAATATTGATAGTTTTCTAACAGATTAGAACTTAAGAATCCTATGAGTTGTGATAATACTTCCAAAGTATTTTTTTAGACAGCCTCTCGACTGGTATTTTAATATATTTTTTATGAAAAAATATTTCTATGTGTTGTAATTTGTATAATAAAGTAACAAATAAATTTTTTATTACAACTAGCTTGATTTAGTCTTATTGCTCAGCATGGAGGTTTTAGGTAAGAATTTATTTATTACAATTACTTTATTACGCCTTAGGTTTTTTTATAATTTTGGACCACATATTCGTATCATTAATTGTAATTAATTATACTATATTTTTAGGAAACCGATTCTACGCAGATACTACATCGATGGACTCTGAAAAAAAGAATACTAGAGAATGGGTATTCTCTTGCCCAAATTGCAAAAAACAATACGCTTATTTAAGCGCAAGGAACAAACATTATGCAACATGTAAACAAATCTACAATCCTGAAGGAGTTAATTCTGGAAAACTTTTTAAATGTCCAAAATGCTCTAAGTCATTTAAAATACGTAATAGTTTACATCGTCACGTTAAACTAGAATGCGGACAAGAACCGAAGTTTTGCTGTCGTTTGTGCTCATATAAGTGCTACCAGAAAGTTCGACTTCAAAAACATGCTTATGCAAAACATAATTACGTTTTATAAATAGTAATGGAAAAATATATATTATAAAAGGGTAGAGCGGGGCTTGAAGGTCCGCGGGCGAAAACGTCTACCACTGATATCTCAATAATAAATAACGTTAAGAATTTTTTAACAACAATATTTGAAAGTAGAGGGAAAGGGTGATAATCAGCCATCACCTCGATTCTTACGCTGTTGCTATGGGGATATAAACCCAGATTTGAAAATCTATAACATAAGTATATTTATTCGTTGTTAGTTTTTTTGGTTGTGAGCACTGTTGTTTAGTTTAAGAGACTTTAATATAATTTTTAAGTATAGGTTATTCAATTGTTTCATAAGATGTATTGTTAATTTTAAGTTAGATTTAACAGTTTTTTTTATATAATACCTATAAAAGCTGACACGTGGGTGGGGTAAAAAGGACTAAATAAACCTTTACCAAGGCAAAGGTGTAAACAATAAAAAGTAGTAAATAAAAAAATAAATTAAGTTAAAAAAAGCAATTTTGCAAGAGATAAATTAAATAAATAGTTATTCCAACTATGCTGATGAATATTTCTGTCGAAATACCAGATCAAGGTTGTATGCAGTTATCCTGTAAAAAATGTACCCATGAAATTTATATTTTGCATTGGTTGAATAATGTAGCTATTATTTCGTAAAATTTCTTTAAAATTTCCTTACTATTAAATATAAGACATTGGATCTGGTGCCCCCTAGTCGTCTCATTTTACCACGCCTATAGGGTAAAAAGGACCATGTGGCAAATTTTTGAAAAACAGAAAATATAGCACTTTTCTACAAAGAATGTAGACTAATGAATTAGTCAGAAGTTTTACTGAGCATAGTCAGACAGTTGTTTGTTTGATATGTGTTATTTATTGTGATATAATTAGTTTTCACAATATAATTGCTCAAGGACAAATTGGACCTTTGTGCCCCGCTTTGCACTATCTGATGTCTTCAGATATTTTATGATATAATGAACATTAGACTAATACCATCAGACTATCATTTTGTGCTGTCATAAAATGATCTTAAAAAAATTTTTTTTTCTATAACAAAATCAGAAATATAATAGAATATCTTATATATCTTTGTTATAATAATAATTCAACAAAAAATTATTAAGCATAAAAAATTATGTAGTTTGAATGATTAAGTATACTTATATTGCCTTGTTAGTATTAATTTTCCCATTACTTAATAATAATAATATTGTTAAACTAAAGACTAAACTTAAAATTCAAAGAGTTAGCGTATATTTTAGCATTATACTATTATTATGTATTATTATGTATTATATTTATAGTATTTATTTTAATTTGATCGATCATAAGTTAAATAAAACTTATTACACGAAACGCATCAGGTATATTTAGTGTATACTATATCTTTTCGGTTAAAATATATATTAATTACTACTTTATCATTAACATTTTATTATTATTTTCAGGTGACAGCTTCTATGAAAATACTGGGTACGATCAGAATAGTCAATTCTACGATATTAACGATCCAAACAATCTCTATATTTCACCGACAAGTTTTTGTTGTTCGAATTGCAACAGATTTTATAGGCATAAAAGGACTCTTCAGAGACATTTGAAATTTGAATGTGGAAAAGAAAAACTATTTAAATGCCCAATGTGTGCCTATAGGAGTCATCAAAAGATCACAATGCAGAAGCATTGCGAGAGAAGACATCAAAAATATATTTAATTTAAGATTTAAACTGTTGTTGAATATTAGTAATAATAATAATAATAGTAGTTTGCTCGAAGGCAGGTCCATGGTGTGAGAGCACCACAAATCTATGATTTTCCTCCCCTCCCTTGTTTATTATTTCCATTACCGTTTTATTACCATTAATTAATGACCATTAATCACTTTATATTTGTTTTTATGATTTTCCTTTCCTAACTTGTACTTCCTGCTCTTCTGGTTCTGTGCTTCGACTTTCAGTTCTCTGCATTTCTCTTCTTGCATAAGTCATCATCAGTAGTAGATATTATTACTAAATGTTTTAATCCTATTTAAAACAAATATAATTTCAAAACATAAAAATCGAAATGAAAATGTTATATATCTTTACGTTTCAATGGTTTCTGAATATTTTGACATACCTTAGAAAAAAAGTGATTGTTTGTGTGTTTGCGTGTGTGCGGATACAAATTTTTATCGGCGATATCGGGAACACCGATCAACCGATTATTTTGGCGAAGGCAGGTCTAGTCGTTTTGAGATACGGAGCAAAAAGTGCAAAAAATGGCAGGTTCTGAGTGAACAATCGGCCGATTTGAATGATTCAAAAACATTTATTTGTATTAAGGAAATTAATTTGTGGGACGTCGATTAGTTTTGGTAAGGAGGTAATACTAATGTTCAACTTTCAGCAAACTAAAAAAAAGTTGATCTATTTGTATACAAGAACATGTTATTATTAAAAGAAATAGAATAAAAAAAAACTTTTCTGACTCTTCAAAAGAAATACGGTCTACAGAATTTTAATGTATGGCTTTAATGCGGAGTTAATGCAATAACGGAAACTTGTTCGCACAAACACTTTATATTTTTTTGCTTTGAACCCTATCTTTTCAAAATCGGTATATTTTAGCTATTATGACGACTGTTACTACAGTACCTTGGCACAACCGTTCCCAGTCTCCCCTAATAATTAATACTACAAAACATATATAAGTTAACTCACTATAATAAAAATTTACGGTGATATTCCAGAGTTTTATGAGAGGCTAGTAATAAATTATTTAAAATACTTTAAATAATATATTAGATTTTATTATAAATATACTAATTAGAGAAATATTTATTCATATATTACCTATATGTAAATACTGTAAATATTTTTTTTATTTTCTTGAGAACTATTTCAGAATAATGAAGATAAATCAGTTATTTCGAATATATTTGAATTTTATTGACCAAGTTTAGACAGATGTTTCTCATTCATTTGTATTTTTTCATATATTTTTAATGGATTATAATAAGTTTATTTGGTAATTGGTTTATTATAATTTTTGTAATAAGTAATTGGTCTATCACGGTTTATTTCAAAAATGAATAATAAATATAAGTATTTTAGCAAATTGTATATAAATAAATATAGGCCAGAAAATATAACACATGAATTTTTTTGTTTGGGATTTTATAAATTTTCAAAACATATTGATAAAAATTTTGGTAAATTCAAAGTTTTGTTCTATCAATGCTGTAAATATAAATGTGCAATTGCTAATTTGCTTCTAAATTATATTTTATATTTTATTTTATTATTAGAGTAACATTGAACATGGGTTTTAATTTTATTGTATATAACTTGTATTGTACACATAAAAAGCATGTAAGCTGTATAAAGTTAAATATATCACTTATTTTTCAGAAACAGTTTATAAATATATTGGTGGAATATATAAATATTGCACATATATTTTATTACATTCTATTGTACATATACAAAATCATTGAATTTGCTTGTTCATTCACTTTCATAGATTCGAATACTATTTTGCATTAAATAGCGAAATGTCTGTAAAAATTTCTTCTACCTTCTATCCCACATATCTATTAGTTTCACTGATTTTTGTACCTTCAAAAAAACATATTAAAATATTTTAATTCCAGGTAAATTTCGCGATATGCAAGCTTTTGTCGACATGGCAACTTTCTTTAGTCAACCAAATATAAGGAGAAGATTTTCCAAAACGGTTCCAACCATGGAAGACGGTGTTCCTAAATGGCAGTGTCCAAAGTGCCAAAAAGTCTACAGACACAGAGAAAGTTTACAAAAACATTTAAGACTGGAATGTGGAAAAGATCCACAATTCTTTTGCTCCATGTGTCCTTATAAAAGTCATCAAAAAATCAATCTTCAAAGACATGCTTTGAGACATATCAAAGGGTACTATAAAAACTGTTGATGTCGTTGATAATTGTTGATAATTATTGTTAGATAAGTATTTATTCCTATTTTTATACAAAGAACTGTTGTATTTTTGGAAAAAAATAATAAATACGTATATTTTAGTTATCTTTATGTAAAATAATATTAGTATTATATATTTTAAGAGGGTTATAATGGTTTTATAGTTGTTATTAATTAATAAGTTTAATTTATAGAGTTGCATGTTAGTGAATCTACCTCAGGATAAAGTCTGTATATGTATATATTGTTGAAATATGTGTGATTCAATCAGGCAATACATCAATTAAAAAACTGTAAAAATTTATAAAAATTTTATTAAACCAACATGGTCTGGCAGATATCTTAATTTTCAATCCTATCATCCAACTAGCATGAAAATTGGTACTTTCATCAATTTAGTTGATCATGCTATTCTACTTTCAGATAAACAATGTTGAATTTTTAACATATCCTTAATCCATAAAACTTTAATAAATAATTGCTATCCCTCAACACAAAACACTATCATCCCTCCCTCGTGTCCCAGAAAAAAGAAGATAACAAGTTTGTTGGCACTATATGTCTTCCATACATTAAAAATCTTTTCCCGTTTTGAAAAAAACTGTTTACTTTTGCGAATTTGCGTTTAGTCTGTAATATTGATCGGACTCGGAATTTTCAAATTTAAAATCACCCACAAGTGTAGATCATGCCTCTAACATTGTTTATAAAATTGACTGTAAGAACTGTGAGGCTGCTTATGTCGGCGAAATGGGACAACATTGAATAAAATGCCTGAAACAACATTTAATAACTCCAAAAATAAAAATTAGAATAAAACGATGATAACGGACCACATCATAAGCTTGAATTATTGTTTCAATTTCGATGTTGCTACAATTTTAAATCACGAGTCGAACGTATCACAGAGACGCTTTTCAGAATCATGTTCTATACAATTGTACAAAAATAGTATAAACAAGAGAAATGATACTTCTTCGCTGAGAATTATCAAGTAGTTTTAAACAGTGTTTCGAAGTTCATTTTTTTAAAATAACCGCCCATTCCTGACATTTCAAGATTGAATCTCATATATATATAATATTTTTTGGTAATATATTGAAAACAAAAGGTAGGTACGATTCGCTAATATGTTTTTATTTAATATTAAAATATCTTTACAATTTACAGTAAGTTTAGTTAATACATATTCTTATATATTATGTTATTTACAATTTATTGAAATAAATTATTACAAATAAATATTTGTTCACTACAGTTGCATACATATATATGATATTTGTTACCTGTTTATTCAGTGTGTTTCAGGTAACAAGTTGATCGATATCCACTAAAAACTAATATTACAAATATTTTTGTTTCAGGTAGCTCTACCGATTTTGTCTATGAACAGTTCAATATGACTACAAAAGGAATCTTAAACCCGAATTATCAAAATCATGTTTGTGAAAAATGTAACAAGTCTTATGCAGCACACACGTCTCTGAAAAGACATTTACGTTTGAATGTGGAAAAGAACGTAATTTTTTCTGCAATTATTGTTCTTACAGGAGTCATCAATTTTGTACATTGAAAAGACATGTTTGCGAATACATAATGAAACGTTGATGACTTATAACGGTTATAATGCCCATCAATTTTAATCACTACTGCCACTCTAGACAGGCCTATGAGTTAAGTTAAACTCCAAGTCGATTCAGGGATGAAAAGCGTGAGAAATTTTCCAACGATATGGAAACTTTATGTTCCAGAGGTTTCTGAACATTTTGGCATACCTTAGAAAAAATGGAAGCATGTGTGCGTGTGTGTGTCCACAATTTTTTGTCATCCATTTCGGGCACGGATCAATCGATTTGAAATAGTAAAAAATCATTCGATTCTTACTGTTAGTTTTTAGGAGAGACGTGTGATTAGTTTTTGGCAAGGACAGATCCAGCCCGTTCGGAGATACGAAGCATAGAGTGCAGAAATAGAAATAAGTTTTGAGAGAACAGATCATCCGATTTGAATGATTCAAAAAACGTTTAGATCGTAATGATGAAGAGAAATAGTGATTATTTTTGCCGAAGAAAGGTGCAGACGATATAGGGCTAAATGTGCAAAAATTGGTAGTTTTTGAGGGAACGAAGCATCCGATTTGAATGATTGAAAAACCTTACACTTGTATTGACAAAAAGCAAAAAAAAATATATTTTTTTAATTTAAATTCTAAAGCTCACTTGGAATAAGTAATTTTAACATTAATTCAGTTTATATAATTTTTAGAAAAGTGTAACTCCGCTTCATTAAGTTTTTTTTATTTACTTTATATTTATTTTATATAAACGTCATCGTCCAATTTATGAGCTTATATATTTTGTCTATAAAATAGAATATTGAAAGTTACAGTATTTATAATAATATATTTGAAAAC